GTCGTCGTCGTCGTCGTCATCGTCGTCGTCGTCGTCGTCGTCGTCGTCGCTGCCCCCGCAGCCGCCGCTGGGGGCCGCCGCCGCCGCCGCGGCGGCGGCGAGGCCGCGGGGCCGCTCTCCGGGCGCTCTGACGGCGGCGGGCCGCCGCCTCCGCGGCGAAGCGGTCTCGGCTCCGCAGCAGGAACTCCAGGCGGCTGTCGTCGTGCCAGGCGCCGCCGGAGCGCCCGCGGCGCCTGCCGGGCGCAGGAAGCCCACGACGACGGCGGCGTCGTGGTCGCCGTCGCCGTCTTCGTCTCCGTCGCCGTCGCCGTCGTCGCCGCCGTCGTCGTCGCCGCCGCCGCCGTCGTCGTCGTCGTCGTCGTCGTCGTCGTCGTCATCGTCGTCGTCGTCGTCATCGTCGTCGTCGTGGTGTCGTCGTCGTCGTCGTCGTCGTCGTCGTCGTCGTCGTCGTCGTGGTCGTCGTCGTCGTCGTCGTCGACGTTTTCGTCGTTGTGGTCGTCGTCGTTGTTGTCGACGACGACGACAAGGTTTGCCGTCGGGGACGACAGCGCCGACGAAGGTGGCGGCGGCGGCGGCGACGTGATCATCGTTGACCTCGTCGTCGTCGTCGTCGTGCGACGCCGTCGTCGAAGTTGGCGGCGACGGCGGCGACGTCGGCGATGTCGCCGTCGCTGTTTCAGCAGGGGGCAGGCCCCACGGAAGCTGCGGGGGGGGGGTTGCAGAGGCGGGGAGGAGGCCAACGCTGGCCGCAGCAGATCCGCAAGGTGGTCTGGGGCGATCTCCACTCTCCCCACCAGGGGGCTGGCCACAGGAGGCCTGCTCCTCCTCCTCCTCCTCCTCCTCCTCCTCATCATCATCACCACCACCACCATCAGCATCATCATCATCCCCCCCCCACCACCAGCAACATCATCAGCATCAGCACCAGCATCAGCATCATCAGCAGCATCAGCAGCATCATCATCACCACCATCATCATCAATCATCATCATCACCAGCAGCATCAGCACCATCATCATCAGCACCATGGTAAACATCATCATCATCATCACCAGCAGCAGCGTCATCATCATCATCAGCAGCATCATCATCATCAGCATCATCATCATCATCATCATCATCAGCATCATCATCATCATCATCAGCAGCATCAGCATCAGCATCAGCAACAGCATCAGCATCAGCATCAGCATCAGCATCAGCATCAGCATCAGCATCAGCATCATCATCATCATCATCATCATCATCATCACCATCATACTCTGTCCTCTCCCCCTCCTCCTCATCATCTCTCTTCCTTCCCCAGATGCTTCCCGACGGGTTACAACCTAGTAGGTTGGCCAAGAGATGGCCCAGCGTGCTTGTCACATCGGCCGCGGTGACTCGCCGCAGGCGACGCCAATCAAATGGAAACGCACGACGCACCAACAGCCAGCAGATGTGACCGCTCTCAGCGCCCAGCCCGAGCCCGTCGCCCAGATGATCGCAGAGGCCTACGGAGAGCACCCCCGACCCTTCGCTCCGTCACCCGCCGATTCGTGCTGCGCCAGACGAGGCGATGGTCGCGCTCTCGCGCCGCCCCGCCACTGGAGAAGAGAAACCACGGAGAACGGCTCCCCGCCGTCACCGCGAGGCGGGGTCGTAGAAACCGTGGCGTTCCCCAGAAAGGACGGGTGACGACGGAGGAGGAGGAGGAGGAGGAGGAGGAGGAGGAGGAGGAGGGGGAGGAGGAGGACAGAGGAGGAGGAGGAGGAGGAGGAGGAGGAGGAGGAGAAGGAGGACCGAGGAGGACCGAGGAGGACGGAACATTGAGATTTGAGCATCGATGGCGGACCCCATGTGAAAGCCTGGGCGCATGGGAAGGTGACGGAGGAGGAGGAGGAAGAGGAGGGGGATGAGGACGACGGTGAAGGGGAGGAGGATGACACAGCGGCCCCGATCCTCCGATTCCACCCCCCACCGCAAAGGAGGTGGCGGCCGCATGTCGCGGGGGGCAGCACCAGGTTAGATGCTTGTTCGGGGGACCTTTATGGGGCCGCTTGCCCCAGTCGTGCGTCGATGCTGCGCCTGACGTTCGTCGATACGAGTCGAACTTGAGTCAACCTAGGTTGGTGTTGTTACGGGGGGGGGAGAGGAGGGCAGGCCTGCGAGCGCCACAGCAAGCTTGTGAGCACAAAGGCATGCTTGTCAACACCACACCACCATGCATGCGAGCACCGCGCCATGCCTGTGGGAGAACAACCTCTCCCCCCCGCGTACGCTCGGTACAGTCACGGGGAGGGTGGCAAGTGGGGGAAAGGGGGCGCCCTCCAATGACGGACGTTACGGGTTCACAGGGTTAAACGACACCATCACGTGCGATCGAAACAAAGCCCAACAGATGCGCTCGGCGGCCCCAGGAAGGCCCCGACACAAACGTACACCTGAACCAGGCGGCAGGAGGAGGGGGAGGAGGAGGAGGAGGACGAGGAGTAGGAGGAGGAGGAGGAGGAGGAGGAGG